CCAAGGGATCTGACAGTTTTCTTCTATGCAGAGAACTGATTTAGTATGGACAGCTGTGATTGGAACTACACTTTCACCTTGATGGCTGCATACCCCATCCAAGGATGAAAGGGTGGTTGCTTACCATGTCCCCTCAGCCCGCAGTTGTTTGGGTAAGATTGACAAGACCAATGATAAAATGCGGCACTTCTGGTAAATGCATTTCTTTTCAAATACCAAGCTGACTGAAAATCAACCAACTTAATAACATTCAGTCATCACCGAACTGCAATTTGCACAAACCCCACCACAGCTGAAGTGAAAAAGAACAACAGTCATTATAACCTACTAACCTGCACAACCTTCACATCATCCTTTTTTTTTTATGGCTGCACATTTCTGTCAGAGAAATGGAATTAAAGTTCTAGAGAAAACACAGTATCATCAGAAAACCATTGCACAGGGTCTGACCCTTCCATTTGAATTAAAACCAAATTACTTTCAGCATGGCTGTTTGGACACACTGATCCATCCAAAACTAGAATCAAGACCTTTAACTGGCAAGACCTTTTTTGTTTTTTTTTAACAGAGGCCTCAAAGATCTTGCAACTGAATTCAGCAAGACAATTTGTAGGTTTGAAATAAAGAACATCTTTGGTATTTTGGGGATCAAAAACCTGCTCATTCATCTGTGTTTAGATCTCCATAAAGCACCTTGCTATTGCTTTAATAATAAACAGAAATCACAGTAGAAATTATATGCAAGTAATCCAATTCTGCTTCTACAAAAAAAATACTGGAAAAAATAAATCACATACTTGCAATAATAGGTGAAAACCAGATTATTTTCTGAACTCAAGGCAGTAATTAGATTATTTTTCAATTTTTTCCACTTGGGATTATTTTTTAATTGGGTCAACTGAATGTGAATATGTGATGTTAGATGTGAACAATTTCATAGCAGCACATTTTTTAAAAAGTTTGGGCGGGGAGGAGGAATAAGAAGGTGAAATGTACATACACTTTGGGTAATATACATTTAGATTTTCCATTTATTTTCTTTATCTTATGTAATGATGAGGACATTTGTTTCTGTATCGTTAACACTTCACATTGCCGGTGTTGACAACTCAGGAAAACAGCCTGATTACTCACCAAGCGCTCATCAGGAGAGGCAATGATAAAAGCCCTCCACAGAGTACATCATAACACTCCCTGCAACTCTCAGCTCACTTTTTTACCCAGAGGCGTACGTAAATGACAGGGCTTGCGCTGTGCCTTGGCTGCTAAGAAGCGGGACGGCAGCAGATCAAAGGCGACCAAGGGCAGATGTCCCCCCTCAGAAGGGGTACCCATCTGCCCACTGGAGACACCCCAGCCTACCCTTTCTATTGACCACCCCACACCACCCCAAAAAATGATGTGGTGTTTTTAAGGCTGCTTCTCACTCTGCAGAACTGTTCACTGATGCCTATGTAGGAGTGAAGGATCCAAAATAGATGAGGATCAGAGATAATTTTCAATTCGTTTACAAGGGGCTTAGAGGGATTCTTATCTCTAATTAGGAAGCTGGCTGTCACAGAAAGATATGTTCTGCTGCAACTTGCACTGAAGTCAATTGTAGTTTAGGTATTACAACAGCTGAGGCAGGATTAGTCACTACACGTTGAAAGAGAGAAGCAATAAAGCAGAATAAACTGGAGTAACAAATAAGCTCTCTGAAGGTGAATTAAGCAAATGAAAGTTATATAAATAACCAGTCATTAGCTGAACAAAAATATCAATTTTACATTATTTAAATCTTATTTATAATTTTAATTTTTACCCTCAACATTATGAAAACAATAACCCTACCTTTTAAAAAATATATAAAGTTATGTCTCTATTTGTTTTCCCAAAACCTGAAATCAGAAGTTAAGGAATTCTGAATTCCTTTAGCCTTGCTCCACAACTAAAATCTAGTCATTAAAGGCTTTTTTTCTTACACAGAGCCATAAGAATGCCCATTCAGTTTTAAAATAAATGTATTTCTCATTTAAATATCTCAAAGATTTTTTAATTAAATCTGTAATTTAAATATTTACAGATTAATAATGAATCTACAGTTCATTACTAGTATGAAATGTAACAGTTCTTACAGTGTACTGTGAGTGCATGATTTCTTCTCAAAATTGCATTAATTTCATGCTGTGGCAAAGCAAAAATACCAAAATCCAAATCTGCAAAGGGAAGGAGTGGAAAAAAGTGCAGTGTAAATTTAATCTCAGATTCTTCCGTGATACTCATGTAAGCCTGGGCATGTCACTTAACTCTTGGCCACATCTAATAGTGGAAAAATTTGGAAGTGAATTCTGTAAGAGAAACCACAGTGCAGAAAAGATGCAGGTGTTGTCATTGCCCTGCTGCTGAACTCCAGTATTTATAAATTTTATGAGTTCTGTGCCTCAGTTTCTCCATCTGTCAGATTTTTGTTTTGTTCCCTTTTTTTTTGAAACAGAAAGTTTTTGTGACTCCTTTAATTAATTAGCTAGTGGTTTTAAAACTACATTTTTGGATACATGATAGAACACAACTAAATATTATTATGGTAACAGGTAATTAGAAGGCAGCAAAGCACATGTTTGAGATCATAATACAAAATCAGAAAAAATGCAGGCCATGCTATCTGTGAAGAGAAAGACATAAAAAATCCCCAATGGAAAAAAAAAGAGACTGATTGAAAAAAAAAAAAAAAAGGCAAGTAGCTTCCTTGCTATTAAAGGACTTGTGCTTTAAAAAGGCTGGGTCTCCTCCTCTCTTATGCTTCCTAGGATGATACTTCCACTGCAGTAATCAAAACAAGGAAGCAGATGAACAGGCAAAGTGGTACTGCAGCTGCTGCAGAAGATGAGTATAATAATAATGTTGACATCAGTAACAGTAATTAGAGCACAGACTGTAGAGTGGATGATTCGTTTTCCTATCTTCTGGCACAGGCATGCAGCCCTACCGAATGGGTAAATGTTAATACCTTTAGTTTGTTTTCTTCATTTGCTCAGTTTATTAATAAAATTGAATACAGTGAAGAAAATTGAATTTTCCTCCCTCTCCATAACACTTTCTGAGGAAAGTATGTTGTTTCAGTTTGGATTAATACAAGGTGGAATCTTCATCAGTAAATGGCAAAATACCAATTTCTTACTTACATCTATTTTAAATGTACACAATTCATACTCTGCCATACCGCCATCTGTACATACACTTTTGAATTTCTGCAACATCTAGTACTTGTCTGGTTTTGTCTAAACAACAGCTCTACTGTTCAGTGTGACTTCACCCATCTGCAGGCTCATATACCTTTTCCAAGGGACACTAGGACAAATGATAATACTGCAAGAAGGGCAAAAAACCCCACTGTGCTACACTGAACCATCTCAGGAAAGAAGCAAGTAAAACATCAGTGCTGTCAGCAGTACCATGTCATGCTGAGAGAGTTCTAGTAGCATCAGACAAGGATGTACGACTACTCCTTAGCTGCCTCACTGAGAATGACAACTGTGCAGCTTGGTGTTACACTATACCAAAACACCTGTTGAAGAGCCAACTAATTGGAAGAGTGAATACTGCAGAGAAACAAATAGATGGATTTTATTTGGGAAATACAATTTGTCACTTAGATGCTATCCTGCAGTATGAAGTCAAAGGGAAGGAAGAGTAATTGCAGATATTGTGGAACATGCTTAGCATATGACAACCTCAAAGCCTTTTATCTTCTGATGAGCATTTCCTTCCTCTAAATAGAAGCATCTAACTTCTACTGAGATTCATTTTCCCTGTTCACTTATTCTCTAGGATGACAGAAGATTTCCTTTGGCTTCCCTCCATTATCATTCTCAACAACTAGAAAAGCTCCTATCCCCTTTTCAAGCACTGTTCTACAAAAGGGAAGAGTCAAAGCGAGAAGCACAGGCTCAGGATGGGAGCCACTCAAGAACACTGAAAGCTCATTTATCTACGCTCCCTTTCCATCCAAACTCTTCCTGAGGCTTCCACAGTTTCTCCTTCTGTCTCTGGATTTCTATGCTTTAAACATGCTGATCTACTGAATATCTCCATCCAGGCAGCAATAGATATTTTTTGGCAGATCAAACTTCCTAATGAAGTTTATTATATTCTAGAAATTTATAAACTTTTTGAGCTGGTTTGTGTTTGTTTGTTTGCTTTTTAACAATACAGAGAAGCTTGAATTGTCTCATAGAAAAGTGATGTCCTGTGCAATGTTTTTTGGAGATGGGCTTAACACAAAGATAAACTTAAGTGCTGTATTTAACCTTCATTATTTGCTTTCACTGTTGAGAAGACCACATTTGCATATGAAGACTATCCCCAATATATTTCAGAAATTAATTCATGTAAATCAAAAATCCAGCCATAAACTTGGTAAAAGAGATGTCTGCATAAACACATCTTTTGGTTTTGTTTCTTCTCATCTACTGAAGTAGATGAGATAGCTTCAGTAATTCTGTTCCTAGCACTGAAGAAGACCATTAATCAAATTACTCCAAATATGAGCAGAAAACAATGCAATTGAAAGGAGAAGAATAGGTATTCAAAAGACCAGCCATTACTATTCTTCATGGAAGAAATTGCCAAGAAGAAGAGAAACAGATGGCTGAAAGTGTTAGATGAAGACACGTTTTCCTATGCAAACTAGCAGACTTAATTAATTACTCAAATCACATGGTATTTTATGGAATGACATTAATGATCAGTAATAAAAACTGACAGTGCTGCCTTATCAGCTCCCTTTAAAAAAAAACCACAACACAATAGAAATTATTATTAAAAGAACATATTTATACCCGACAGATGCAACCCACAGACCATAAATAGCTTCCAATGTTAGCCTGACTTTCAACACTTTCCCATTAATTTAATTACAAAATTTTTATGGAATTGTAAAATTGTAAACAAAAGCATTCTCTCATCACATTTTCCTTACCAGAATTACTAAAACATATTCAGCTAAATTAAAACTTTACCTTAACTATTTCCTCTATGAAGCAGACATGTGACACAGGATCTCTTTTCTTGGTCAAAACTTTCTGCAAATGCTGCACCTGTAAGAAATAATTTATTGAGAGAAAAGTGATATCGAATATTTTATATGCAAAACTGCATGACTAGACCAACAGAAATTAGCTGCTGATACCTGTCCACAAGCAGCACAGATCTGATCCATGAGTTTCTCCATGTTTGTCCAGAGGGCTGCTCGAAAAGCTGCTGTGTTCCCAGGTGTTGGCATAGCAGCTCTACCAGGGCCACCTAAATGGTTTTTAAAACACAGCAGCACGTTTCAGCTTTCACATGTGAAAATTAAAATATCAGAAACACAGATTTCTATGCACTCTGACATAAGATTTAAAAAAAAAAAATCAAAGCAGCCTAAAATAGCTTCAAAACAGAGCCTTGTGAACGGCCTCAGTTGTCTCAACTGAGAAATCAACTAAACTCTGAAGTTCAGCGGGGATACTTCAATGTTCATCACTATTACCTAATTTTACCAATTCAGACCTCCACAGAAACACCAAGGTAATGCCAATGAGCGAGCACGGTTGTAGGATGTGATAGCAAAATGAAATGGCAGAGACAGTAGCTGTGAAAAATACAGGTATTACCAGCTCAGGACTTAAAAGCACAGGCAAACTGCTAAAAAAAGTGATATTCCAGCTGAAAGGCATACAGCTTCCAAATCACCTCTTTCCTTGAGGTGATTTATTTCTTTGTTACGCAAGTGATTATGGTTTTGGACCTCCAACTTGTTGCAAAATTTTTTCAAAAAAAATTTTAAATGTTCGTATTGTGAAAGTTCAAATTTGCTCACCCAATTCCTAGGTATTCTTTGGTATCTGAACTAATATGAGCTAACTAACTAAACGTTCAATTGTGCAACATTCCTCCATATTGCATATACTCCTCTGAAAATACTTCCATCTGACAAAAGCATCACACTGTACTTTCAGGCTTGTTCCATTGTTTGCAAATAATTTCTACCCATGATCCTCCCAGTAACACAAAGAAAGCAGAATTTGGATTCATCTTCCCATGACAAACTGCTAAGAAAATGCTGCAAAGTTGTAAACTAATGAGGACAATTCTCTGGACAAGTCAGGAAAAAGAAGAAGGGTGGGAAAAAAATGAAAACATCTCAGCCCAGTAACAACAGACAGATCAAATTTTGACTTTGTATTAGATGATTTCTGAGACATCCCATCTTCTAGTGGTTAATGCAAACAGGGAAACATCCCTACAAGTCAGTTATAATTCTCTGTAAAACAGGTATCATACCTCTTGTAACAGCTAGAGATGGTTGGGTCAATACTTTGATATCCAAAGCATTTTTTATGTTCTCCTCCAGGACTGTGCAGTATCCGTCCACCACATTAGCAATGGTATCCTTCAAAGTCCCAAGGTTATGGAAAACCTGAAGAGCAGTTCCCACTTGAGTAGGATTCTAGACAAAGAAGATATCCAAAAATAATTACTACCTTTAACTGTACTATAGGGGTTTTTTTAATCCGTGATGAGGTATCATTTTACTAGGCAAGTTCACCTTTAAGTTCAGTCTGCTAATTCATTTCATTTATCATTAAATAACTGGCATCCTTACTGCACTATAGAGAACAGAGGGTAAAGGAGAGGATTCAGTTCCTTTGATTGCTTAGCAATGCTATGCTCAGCTTATTTTGGTGCTATCCTCTGAATAGGAAGAATGCAAAAAGAGGAACTGGAAGCACTGCTGGCAATATCTAACCTGGGGTGGGTTACCAGTGATTGATCTAATAATTCCGAGGTTAGTTACAGCACAGCTATATTCAGCTATAGTGTAGCTAGTAATTTTGTTTCAACATGCAGTAGCTGTTGCACAACTGTCATTTAAGTGCCAAAGAGTTAATTAAATGTGATACAGGCTTAAACAAAAATACTAACCAAGGACAAGCTGGGGCAAGCAGGTCAAGCCCCTGCTACTGACTATTGCAGAATTTAAGCTTGAATTTCTACATTTCTATTTCCAACACTGACAATAACTTCATCTTCCTTACAGCAGAATTAAGAGTGTAAAGCAACATAGTGATCACACTGATCATTTCCAAAGCCTAAATTAAAAAAAATAATAAATAAAAAAGCTCAAGTGTCTTTGTATTGTTCAGAGCTTTCCCAAAATACAGGAGAGTGAAAACTATTCAAAACCTGTTCAGGTCTGTTGTTTAAGAGACCTTTGACTAAGACTAAATCTGATTATAATTCCACTGAGCAACACTAAACACTGGCATGGGTACTATTTAGCAAGAGAAAAGCCTCAAATTATTGCCTTTGGAAACTAAGCACTGTCATCCATACACTGAATACTGCTTTTTAATTTAGCATTCACAGGCAATTAGTGGAGGGGGCAGTCAGTTGATCATACACACATTAGAGACACAGTCTTCTGTCACTTTTCTTAGTGACCTCTGCCAGCAGTGAAGAACATGGTCTGGCAGAAATCCTGGCACCCAGACTGGACAGAAGCCTCTGAGACCACAGTCACATCCCACCACAAACTCCACTTTGAGTGTCCTCTGCCAGAGACCTTACACTATTGCATTCTTCCTTCTGGTGGCTACAGCAGCAGTAGCCACTAAGATTAAAAGAGTCTACTGCAAAACCAATGCAGCTCTGCTTCACCTTCTCCAGGTCACAGTATTCTTAGTCAGGCACTCTTGAGTCAATGAAAGAGGATGTGCTCATCTGTCCCTCAACTGTGGGGAATGTGCACCAACACCACAGCAGCAAAGTTGTGTTGTGGCTGCTGTGCTGAAGGTTCACTTATTGGCACATCCACCTACAGCAACAGGTTTTCAGATCCATTGATGAACAGTGCATTCTCCTCAAACTTCATGTTTCAGAGGTCACAACACGGTAACTGCACATTCATGTCACTCCTTCTGTAAAGATTAGAACCATAGCTGGAGCAAAAAAGCCAGATCCATCTCCTTCCCCAACTCCAATGAGGAGTTTTCAGGTTTAGTGGAAAAGGAAGGAACATTAGGTATGAGTTACGGTTTGCAGACCTCATACTAATTGTACCAGTTTCTTTTTCCAAACAGTGTGGGAGTCAGTGAGCATTCCCAGCATAGTATTATGGGTCTGGGACTTGTAGGTTTAGTTTTTTGACAACTGGGTATGCTGTAAAATTTCTAAGCATTCTGTGGGTGTGCTTGTGGAGGTTGGAAAGTAAGCCATAAAGACTGGAAGACTAATAGGATGTCAGAAAATGAAGACAAGAATAATGCAAGGAGGGAATCTGAGGACAGAATGAACAAGAGAAGGAAAATATTAATGGGATGAGGATAGGAAATAGAATGAAAAGAAACTGGGAGGAAGAAAGAGAATAAAACTGAAAGGAAGGAAAGCAAAGATACGGCTCATTCACCAGTATTTCCTGTTGAAATGGTTCTAATTTTTATAGAATAATTATACAATTATAAAACCAGGCAGAGAGTCAGTAATATAAAATCAATACCTTACTACTATAGTAAGAGCACTCAACCAGGTTTCAATCAGACTCTAATGTTCATATATTAACTAACAAAAGAACAGAACAGCATCAAAAGCTGAGCAGGCCACTGTCCTGCCTTGAATGACTGATGGTCAGACACTTTCCTGACAAACAGGCAGTGCAGGCACAAAGAAATCCAAGCAAAAGATGAATCTCAGAGCTCCCACATAATACGTTTACAAACTAACTCTGCTGCTACTGGTCTAGAAAGACACAAAAATGTGCTCCAACAGAGCCTGAGCTATGTTTCAAAAGAACTGTTTGTAGCCCAAAGTTGTCAAACAATTCATTCTGAAGTTAGGAACAGTTAGGAAATAACCAAAACACATTGTTATGGAAACCTGCTATTCACTCAAAGTATCTTCCAAATCTAGTATCAAAGTTAAAATCAGAACAGAACAAAGATTATGCAGGTAGCCTATTTCTTATTTGCTTTAAATTGTGGACATGGCCACTGACAGGGAGCTTTCTAGCTCATGTATTCATCTTGTATAACAAGAATTAAAGATATATTAAAACACCGAAAATGTACAATAAAATATTTTTTTTTGTTTGATTCATATATACTATTTTTCTCTCCTCAAAAGAAAAAAGTGTTTTATATGTCCCAGACAGGCTATATAAAGTTTATTGTTGGTTCATCACTAATCCTAAGAGAATTGCATTTTTCATGCATAGCTAGTTTCTAGGTTTAGACAATATGCTAAAAAATGGAGCATCTCTTGGGACAAAAATTATTATGTGCAAAGAAAATGCTGGAAAGCAGGAAGAAAACTAACAGTTGTACTTTCAGGCTTGCACATATATCTCAGAATTAGACTGTCTATCATTAAAATACACTGGACAAAAATTTGAGAATCAGCATTGCAGAATTTGCCATTACCAACAGACTTTATTTGTAAGAATTTGCTCCTAATACTTTCCTTCTATTTAAGAAAGCTTAAAGCGAAACATTTCTGAGATGCGAAAGATTGCCACAATTTCTATCAAATGGAAAGCATGAAAAGTAAAAGAAAAACGTGGCAACAGAAGTGATTTACAACGGAAAATGGAATCACACGAGAGAATAATATTCAGAACAGCTATCCAACAGGAACACTAGGGAAAATAATATAACCATTTCTGAGATGGAATTTAATGAGTTTATCAGCAGTATTTTATAATCAAGTTGTCTGCCACTGCACACAACTATACTTAGTAATTTATAAGTGTTCTCCTTAGACTCTCTGTCCGTAAGATCCTATGCTCCTTTCCGTTTGAAGTGTCTTATTTTGTAAATGAAGGCTCAGAAGCAGTAGTTTTTACCAAACACAAAGCAGCCTTGTTTTACTATGCAAAAATGTATGGGCAGTCAGAGCAACCGCAAGACACAATTCTGCTTCTCACAAGGTACTGTCTTACAAGAAAATACCTTCTTACACAATAAATTAACATCCTAAAAATATTTGTACATATGCCATAAAGTTTAAGTTATGGCAATCAAGAGAGTAGGAGGCAAAGAAAACTAGTATAGCATTTAGTAAAATGTTAGCAGTACAGTATAATCTAATGTGAATAAACACAACCATACCAAGTGAAATACAACCATGACCCCTCAGACTGTAGGCCTACAACACTACCTACTCGAAGATTAACTATAGTGATCTTCACATTGCAAAAAACATAATGAAGCAGCAAGCTAAGGAGAGATGGAGTTAACTCCACCAATAATACCCTTCTCCATTCAAAGCATTCCTCCATCTGGCATGTCACAACATAATATGTTACAGATACATGGAAACCAAATTTCACAAATTTAAGAACATAGGATGACTCAGTGCAACATATTAAAATCAGTTCAATATATTAAAAAGGAAAAAAAAAAAAGAAAAAAAAATAAACTTGCTCAAAACCAAGCTCTACCATGAAAGCAACTCTCACATACTTTTAAAAACATCAAAGTTTCTCAGCATCCACCAGACAATACATTAAATACCTTGATCAGAAGGGTGCTATTAGCAACCACTTGAAAAAAGGCATTTCAATTTATGTTTTTGTGTTAGCAAAACATAAACATACTCATTCAGCATCAACTACGAAGAGATGTTTGTATCAAACACATTTGCTTTTTTTCTCTATCACTGAGAACTGTTCGTTTTACTAACATTGTTTTTGATTCATTTTATCCCATCTGATTTGGTTCTGTAGACCATCACAGAATCACAGAATCGCTCGGTTGGAAAAGACCTCTGAGATCATCATGTCCAACCGCTCCTGTCTACCCCCTAAACCATATCCCTAAGTACCTCGTCTACCCGCTCTTTAAATACATCCAGGGATGGTGACTCCACCACCTCCCTGGGCAGCCTGTTCCAGCTTCTGACGACCCTCTCAGTAAAGAACTTCCTCCTTATCTCTAACCTGAACCTCCCTTGGCACAGCTTGGTGCCATTTCCCCTTGTTCTATCCTCCATCACCTGGGAGAAGAGACCAGCACCCACCTCTCTACAGCCTCCCTTTAGGTAGTTGTAGGTGGTGAGGAGGTCTCCCCTCAGCCTTCTCTTCTCCAGGCTAAACAACCCTAGTTCCCTCAGCCGCTCCTCATAGACAAGAAGAAAAATAAGTGACATGCAGTCATTAAATATGATTTTTTTTTCACAATTATATCATGTGATTGTTTTCGAGTAGGCGACGAGACTCAATAACCCAGAAGATGCTGTCCAGTCCAGAATGATATTTAGAGTAACTCTTGACGAGCAGAACCCCATTTGGTCACTTTGTTTTCCACAAAGAGAAAAAACCCTGTGAAGACTAGACAGAAATGTCATTACAGACCTCCAGAAATACATCTCACATTTCTTATCTGAAAATATCTCCTAGGATGGAACCAAGTCATTTTTTTCTCTCAACTGCCAACACTGCAAACATTTCATAGT